GGAGGCGGTGGCCGTGGTGGCGGCCCGCGCAGCTTGGCGTCTACCAGCGGCTCCAGTGCTGTGACCTGCCAGTACCAGCTTCAGACAGGGCCTCTCCGCGGCACTCTGTGCCGCCGCCCGCACCCGACCGCCCGCTGTTTCCGCCGCCTCGACGATCTTTTTCGTCGTCGCTTTGGCCCGGCCCCGGACCTCCCTGACTGGCACAGCCTGCTTCGCCAGGGCGTGCCGATCTTTGAGTTAGACATGGATCAGATAGGTGCTGCTTTGCATGCTTTGTATGCTGACGCTTCTAGTGTTGCTGGATCTTACTACCCTGTGTACTCTAGTTTAGGTGTTTCACCCTTGTGTAGCTTAGCTTCCCCTGCTGCGTCAGGCGTAGGACTGCCTAGGTTGCCTAGCCTAGCTTCTGCACCCGCCCCGTCCCCGGCCTCTGCCACTGCCTCGCTGTCCTTCACGCTCGACTCCGGTGCTTCTGCCTGTTTCTTCCGTGACCGGTCCACGCTCACTCCGCTTGCTGCACCTGCGGTTGTCTCCCTCGCTGACCCCTCTGCCGGTCCTGTCGTCGCTCGCAGTTCCACTTCCCTTCCCTGTCCAGCCGTTCCCTCGGGCTCTCTTACAGGCTTCCACGTTCCCTCGTTCTCCAGGAACCTGGTTGGTGTCGGCCGTCTTCAGGACCTCGGCGTCACCACCACGTTCCCTGGGCACGAGCGGTTCGCTGTCTGTACCGAGGCAGTCTCAGGTTCCCCTCTTGCGACGTTCCCCCGGGACCCGGTGTCTGGTCTGTTTACCCTCGACACCGCTTCCCCCCCGGTTGGTGCGTCCTCCCAGGTCGCTGCAGCTTGCTCGTGTCGGTCCCTCACTCACCCGTCCCTTCTCTGGCACCACCGCTTAGGTCACCCTGCTCTCCCACGTCTGCATCACATGTCTCAGCACGGTCTTGTCTTAGGCCTCCCCGCGTCGCTCCCTGCCCTCCCACCCTCGACTGCGCCACCGTGCACGCCTTGCGTCGAGGGTCGGCTCCGCCGTGCTCCTCACTCCTCCTCGCTGCGTCCTGCTACTGCCCCCCTTCAGACCCTGCACCTGGACGTTTGGGGCCCTGCCCCCGTCCCCGGACCGCGCGGTGAGCGCTACTTCCTTGTGCTCGTCGACGACTACACGCGCTACACCACGGTGTTTCCCCTGGAGCGAAAGGCCGACGTGCCCGACGTTCTTCTCCCGTGGGTTTTGGCTGCGCGTCTCCACCGCGGTCTCCCCGTGTTGTGTCTCCACTCCGACCGTGGCGGCGAGTTCGCCTCTGGTCGGCTTGGACAGTTCTGTCGTGCGGAGGGCATCACCCAGTCGTACACGTTGCCGGACTCGCCACAGCAGAATGGGGTTGCTGAGCGCCGCATCGGCTTGGTCATGGAGGTCGCCCGTACATCCATGATCCATGCCGATGCCCCCCATTTTCTGTGGCCGTTCGCTGTTCGCTACGCTGCTCACCAGCTTAACCTGTGGCCACGCTCCCAGCGGCCGCAGGTTTCGCCGACCCTCCTTTGGACCGGGTCCCCCGGTGACGCGTCTGCGTTCCACGTCTGGGGCTGCCTTGCTCACGTTCGTGCCTCTGGCACGGACAAGCTCACTGCCCGCACTGTCCCCTGTGTCTTCCTCGGTTTCCCCCTGGACTCGTCTGACTGGCTCTTCTATCACCCGCCGTCTCACCGCTTCCTGCACTCTCGTGACGTCACCTTTGACGAGTCCGTCTCCTTCTACCGCCGCTTCCCTCACCGAGGTCTCCCAGTTGCCCCCCCCCTGTTCCTTGCTCCCTCTCCCCCAGTAGCCCCTGCCCCTCTCCCGCCTCGTCCTGCCCCGTCTGGTGTCTCTCACGTCACTCCCCTCCCGTCGGTTGTCCCCGTTGAGGAGTCTGCTGACTCTGGTGGTACCCCCGGTCCGTCCTTGCCGCGTCCCCCTTCCCCGGTGCATCCGCCCCCACTGTCGCAGTCGCCGACCCCGCTGCCGCCGCCGTCGCCGTCGCTGCCGCAGCCGTCGCCGCTATCGCCGCCGCCGCAGCCGTCGCAGCCCCTGCCGCCGCCGCTCTTGGCCCCTGGGGGTGCTGGTGTGGAGGAGGGTGTTCGTCCTGCGGCTTCTGGGGGTGCCGCTGGTGTTGGAGGGGGTTCTCGCTCTGGGGGTGTTGGTTCTGGGGGTGCTGCTGTTGAGTGTTCTGCCGACGGTCGTTCTGCCTCTTCTGGTCCGAGAGTTCCGGCCCAGCCGTCGTCGCCGCCGCAGCAGCTGTCGCCGCCGGTCTCCGCTCTCCGCCTGCTCGGCCTTCCCTCCCCGGACCGCGCGCTGGTCTCTCCCCCACCGCCTGCTGACCTTCCTGTCTACGGTCCTGTGTTCCCGCCGCCGGACTCGTCTCCGGCCCGTCTTCCTCCTCGTTCCCCTCCTGTGTCTCCTCCGCTGTCCCCTGACCCTACACCTCCGTCTCACGTTTGGGCTCGCCGTCCCTCCCGTGCTCGTCCCGTCTCTCCTGTCCTGCCCTCCCACCCTATGTTGCTCCGTTCCCGCTCGTCTCGTCCTCCCCTCCTCCCGTCCCCTCCTCCCTCGTCCCTTGCTGTTGCACCTCCTCCGTTCTCTGACTACCTCCATACTGCTCGTCCCCTTGTCCCTCGGGTCCTTGCCTCTCTTGTTACCGACCCTGCTGTTCCTGTCTCGCGCCTGGACGCGCTTGTCGCTGCTGTCGCTGACTTCGCCTCTACCCGCCGCCTTGACTACGCTACCGCTCTGGTCTCTGACCCTGCCCGTCCTCCGTCCGTCGGGGGTGCTCCTGCCCTTGGCAGTGACGTCCTAGAGGACAGGCAGTACGAGCTGGCTTTCCTTTCCGAGGCTGCTCCCCATCTCTGCTCCATGCTGTTAGTCCCTGAGGGTGCCCCAGACGCCTTCGACATCCCGACCCCTCGCACCTACGCTGAGGCCACCTCGGGACCTTGGGCCTCTCAGTGGATAGCTGCCATGGAGCAGGAGATGGCATCTTGGAGGTCCACCGGCACTTACGTCGACGCAGTTCCCCCGCCTGGGGTGAACGTAGTCGATGGTCGGTGGCTCTTCAAGGTGAAGCGCCCCCCTGGAGAGCCGCCTGTCTTCAAGGCGCGCTACGTGGCCAGAGGTTTCAGTCAGCGCGAGGGAGTTGACTTCTTCCAGACCTTTGCCCCGACCCCGAAGATGACCACTCTTCGGGCGCTGCTACATGTAGCAGCACAGCGCGACTACGAGCTTCACTCCCTCGACTTCTCTACTGCCTTTCTTCAGGGCAGCCTACACGAGCAGGTCTACCTGCGCCGACCACAGGGCTTCACTGGTACCTTCCCTCCTGGGACCCAGTGGCTTCTCAGGCGCCCGGTCTACGGCCTGCGTCAGGCTCCCCGCGAGTGGCACGACACGCTACGTGCCACGTTAGCAGACCTGCAGTTCTTTCCGTCCTCTGCTGACCCTTCACTGTTTGTGCGTTCCGGCCAGACTCCGTTCTACATCCTTGTCTACGTAGACGACCTGGTCTTCGCTACTCCTGACAGGGACGCACTGGCCTCTGTGAAGGCTGAGCTGCTGAAGAGACACACCTGCACTGACCTTGGAGAGCTGCGTCGCTATCTTGGCCTGCAGATCTCTAGGGACAGAGCAGCACGCACCATCACTCTGACCCAGTCACACTTGGTGCGTCAGGTCCCTCAGAGGTTCGGTCTTCAGTTCTCCTCTGCACAGCCCACACCTCTACCCGTAGACCATGGGCTCTCTGCTCCCGTTCCTGAGGAGCCAGTAGAGCCCAGTGGCCCCTACGCAGAGCTGGTGGGTTGCCTCATGTACCTGATGACTTGCACCCGCCCAGATCTCGCATACCCTCTCAGCATCCTGGCTCGCTTTGTGGCTACAGGCAGACACCGACCTCAGCACTGGTCTGCCGCTAAGAGGGTTTTGCGTTATCTTGCTAGTACATCAGGCATGGGGTTAGTGCTAGGAGGACGCAGGCCAGTGGTCCTTACTGGGCACACAGACGCTTCTTGGGCAGACGACGCTGAGACGCTCAGGTCGTCGCAGGGCTACTGTTTCAGCCTTGGTTCGGGTGCTATCTCTTGGAGATCCACTCGCTCGTCGTCTGTGGCTCAGTCTAGCTGTGAGGCTGAGATCTACGCCGGTGCCATGGCGGCACAGGAGCTCCGCTGGCTGACCTTCTTGCTCACAGACTTAGGTGAGCGGCCTAGCTCTGCCCCGGTCCTGTACGCTGACAACAGGGCCATGATACTCCTGTGTCAGGAGCCTCGGCTTGAGGGCAGAGCGAAGCATATCCAGCTGCGGTACTTCCTCCTGCGCGAGCTACAGCAGCGCCGCCAGGCCCGTGTAGTTCACTTGGCCTCAGGTGCCAACACAGCTGATATCTTTACTAAGGCGCTTGCGCCTAAAGATCATCAGCGGCACTGTGTACAGCTTGGTCTAGTTCCTGTAGCTGCTCCCCTGTTAGGATCCTGATTGTGTACTCTCTATTATATATGCTTGTCAGACTGGCCTTGTGGCCTTACCTCCAGTGGCTGGACTAGTAGTGCCACCCTGGCTTGCTTCAGTTTTGGTTGTATTCTTGCTGACTGGTCTCTAGACCCCTGCCTCAGTGGTTGGACTAGTAGTGCCGCTCTGAGCTGTTTGCTTCTTGTTTAGTTTCACCCCTTGTCTAGCCTAGGGGGTGTGTCAACTTATACATATTATCTATGTAGAAGTTATAGGCTAGACTGAGGTATGCTTCTAGTGAGTACAACCAACTAGTATTTGTTCTAGGTTTCCACTTCTAGTTATTATTCGTTTCTACGTTAACAGAAATTCCTTACATTGCGACTGACCGTTACAACTGCAAGGATGGTAACCGAAGCGACAATCGAGTCGCTGTGCGACTTGATAACCGCCCTTTCAACTGTATTCTACAACTGCTTAACTTTCCTACTTTCTATATATTGCTGTATGCTTGTTCTTTTAACCAATCACTTGTTCTCACATACTAGTACAAGGGTTCAACTACTCAACTTCCGCTGCACTACTCAAGTCTCCTTTTACAACTGGACTTAGTCTCTGGAAAGATCCTAAGGGCTATTTCTCAGCCCAACATTTGTAAAATCCATGGGATCCTTTAGACGGGAGTTTGCGATAAAAAGGGCGATGCCTACAGCTCACTTCTTTATTGGCTTGGCATGGCACCATTCCGTCCTAGCACCGGGCCATCGTTTTGCAACGGTTACATCTCCAGTCCAGTCTGAGACCCTAGAGTCGACTCGGTATTGCCACCCACCATCCCCTGCACAATGGATAACTCCTCATCCAGTGGCCTCATCTTCTCCCCCTCGTTAAGCTGCTGCACCACCTCATCCACCTTCAAGGCTGCACGGTCCACTTCCTCCCCCACCACCTCCGCCCTGATAGCCTCCAGGTCATTCGCCAAGCGCGCCATGCTGGGGCGCGTAGCAGTGAGCTTGGCAGTGCAGCTGATGGCCATGTGAGCGATGCGCAGGATGACATCGCCAGGGGCCTCCATGCACGGGTCCCCTAGGGATAAGGCATCTTCGTTTGAGATGTGTTTTTCGGCCTGAGAGGAAGAGCAGAAAAGAGAGATGGGGCAGAGAGAAGGGGGAAGCTGGAGTGAGGAGGGGACATGGCGAAGAAGGAATAACATAGCAAGAACCGGATAATGTTTAGGGAGGAGAACGACTAGTTTTATTGACCCTAGTTCCCAACATTCAGCGACCTAAGTCCAACATTCCCATCTTACCCAATCCACGATACTGCTTATTTCTCCATCATCTTTGAACGTGACATTGCGCCCCGTCAGCACCACAAGCATCAGAACGCCAAAGCTGTAGGTAAAGAAAACAACGGAGAAGACCCAGAAAGAGGATAGCTGACTCAGCGAAATGGCAACGGCTACGATCCATCAAGCAAGGACTACACCTGTTCAAAGAATCGGCATCCCACCTGTACACATCAGCGCTCCATGTGGCCATCTTTGCTGATGAGTATGCCGGGTCCACAAATCCCGGAGTGCCCATCACCCTTGTGGTGCCCACAGTGGTTCCCTCGCCCAGCCTCACGAGCCCAAAGTCTGCAATCTTTGCCTGAAGCGGACAGCGAAGAGTATTGGGACGTGCGTACAAGGGCAGACTGGTCTTGCTGGGAGCAGAGAGGAGCGTGGAATCTAGGTGACGATCCATGTGTGCGCATGCGGAATGACAACCCACAGTAAATCGTGGGTCATGATAGTCATCCACACATACTGTAACGGACACATGGCCTTCTGCAAGCTGGCCAGTTTTGAGTGGGAGAGCCACAAAGTGCTGGTTAATATTCTACCTACAAAACTTGCTTGCCTGCATCTTATCATCCAAAAGAATGTTGGCCGGCTTGATGTCGCGATGCACGATGCCAAAGCTATGGAGATACTCAAAGCCGTGAGCCGAGCCAATGAGAATGTCCAGGCGCTGCTGCAGCGTGAGAGGAGTTGGTGCATCTGGAGGTAGACGGATGGATACGAAGCGGAACAAGATAGGATGGGACCTGCTCTTTACTCACGGTAACTTGCTAAAACATAAGGCATGCTTTTGAGGATTGAAGGTTGTCAGATCGTGACGTGAAAATCTGAATACAATGGCACACGACCTTAAGTATATGGTGATTATCAGTAGCCAAATACATGTTCACATTTGCAGGGAAGGGAAGGTGGGGGGGGTGGGGGGGGTGGGAGAAATCTTGAAGGGGCCAGATTAAAACTCTTCTACACAGAAAGAACAATCAATGCAGGAAAGTGATAAAGCGTAATGCTAACAAAATTAACTACACGAGCTAAGACCAAGGAGAAATTGCAAACGGAGCACTCACCGTTTCCAACCCAGTTGAGCAGGTCTCCATTGGGCACAAACTCGTAGATGAGAACCTGTTCTATGCGCGATCGCACATTGCCCCCCATGGAGTAACCCAGCAGCCGAACGAGGTTGGGGTGGTGCTTGGTGGCCATCTGGGTCACCTGCGAGGCACACGATGCAAAAGGATGACGCAGCTCGCCAGTCTTTCAGCATTTCCGCATATTCAGGCGAAGCAACAACCATTATAGTGACTCAAGGTTTGTGTTTCACTGTTTCGTGATCGCCCTCTCCTCCAAACCAGCTAAAACAAAAACGAAAGCACATGAGCGCTCAGAAGTTGTAGTCTGTTGTGAGTAACACCCCAGTGAGCAAGTACTGGATACCTCGTTGTGGAAGTCGTTGGTGATGACTTTAGCGCGCTTCACAGCCCACAAAGTGGTGCCATCATCTGGAGACACCCCCCGGTACACATCACCAAAGCCACCCGAGCCCACCAGATTCTCCTCACTCCAGTTGCCAGTCGCCCTGCACACCTGCGCTAGTGGATACTCCCGGCACACCTCCCCAGGGAGCAACCCCGTGACTGTTCACGAATGCCAAAGAGAGAAAGGAGACGTTGATAAGTGATTTGACACGCTAGACTAACTGGTGAAAGGAAGGAGGCGAGACATGCATTCTTGGCCAAGTGGTGATGAGAAGGACGTGAAAACATGCCACCAGACTGGAGGGTGATAAGGAGGTGAAAAGAAAGACAAAGGCGAAACCAAGAACACATGGTGCGAAACCAAGAACACATGGTGTGGAAGTCTACTGCAGCTAGGCACATGTGATCGTAAGATTCAAGCAACCATCCTGCTGTGAGCTCTTTTCAGTAGAGTAGCCACCTTTTTTTCTCTGACACCTTGAACTTACTCTCCTATAAATTATGGGCCTGGACCATGCAAGCAATTGAGGTTGCAGCTTGCAACCAGATGTGAGGCTTTAAACAAAAAATGCACAGCGCACCTCCTTTACTTGTTGATAAGGACTTCCTCCTGTACCACCACCAAGCCACACCACCAGCAGCTGCCAGCAGCAGCAGCAGCAGGGCAGCAGCAATGCCGGCAATGGCCCCTGCAGACAAGCCGCCCGGGTCTGATGTGGCGCTGGACGGGCTCGAGCTGGAAGCGGAAGAGCTCGGAGGGATGGGAGGGCTTGGAGGAGAGGTAGGAGGGCTCGAGGCGGTGGAGTTTCGTGAGGTGTTAGTTTGCACTGTGAAGTGAACCACAGGCCACACACAGGGGACACAAGAGAGTGGGGAGAAGAAGGAAGGTGAGCGTGCTCAGAAGCTGTCAGTGGAGGAGGAACAATTCGCGCAGTGCCTTCCTGAGCTGAGACCCTCTAGCTGTAGTTATGTTTCCCGCATGTACTAGAAAAGTGCTGGAAATCAGATTTCGAGTGCCAGACCGACCTTGTTCGCCTCAAGATGATGGGTGCATGTCTCAACTGCTGCCACACCCTCCTTGTCCCCACTCCTTCACTGCTCGTGCATCTCTGTATCCTCTACCTTCCCTCTCTGCTGCTCTGATTCTCCCTCCCTGCACTCACCTGGTGTTTTGCACACAGAACAGAGGCCTGGAGAAGAGCAGGAGGAGCAGAAGTCGGGGCAGCTCTTGCAGAACTGCGTGCCGTTCTTCTGGTCCACCACACACGCGCCTCCCTTGCTGGGGCACGCCAGCGTGCTTGGATAGTACCTAGGATGAGGAGCACGTCGCATGACAGGAGGAGCAAGCGAGTTGAATATAAGGCGCCTCAAAGCAAACTCGTTACACCCGCAGCTGAATTTAACAAGTTATTTGTTGCGTGGCAGCCTGGCTGGACAGATGGCACAGAAGACATGAGCAGAGCAGACGAAGCTTGACTCGTCTGCTAGCCTGGAGTTATACGAGTAACGAGGCGGGCTTTGCGCGGGCTCTCTCGTCTAGAGGTGAGGAAGGTAAAATAGCCCGAGTAACAAATACTCGGGTTCTACTTGCCTGTTATGCGTGCCCATTACTTACTAACGAGCAAAAGTTGCGCACTCGCATTCATCAACACCCGCCGACAAGCGCGGAACGGGCGTTTCGCCCGAAGTTCGGCGTGGATCTGTTTCACACAGATTCACGACCAGCCACTTGATCCGCCCACTTGCCTTTTGCGTATCTGGTCGGGCCTAGATCGATCTTGAACCAAAGACGAGAGGGAGAAGCTATCAGAAGGCGAGTTCTACTCGCCTCGAGGCGAGTAAAGAAAACATGCCTCGAGTACCAATTTTTTGGCATATTAAGGTGAGCAACGAGGCGGAGAATGACTTGATTCGGGTAATCCTTGCCTCGCCTCCTTATTCGGGTTACTCGCCTCCCTTTCGCTCAAGCCATTTGCACATAAAACAGAGTTTTTGCGAGGATAATAGGAGGCCCATGCGCAGACTTCTCCAAGTTTGCGTGCATCACCTGACCTGACTGACTAACGCTGAGCGCAGAATTGTGTGACCCAAAGGTGGTGCGTCTCTTTGGCATTTCCATGGTAGCCATTTTCATGGCAAGGATTAGCCCCAAGCTAACCTTTTTAAACACTTCATGATGAAAGCTTAGGCAGGACATGATGATGGAGCCACTATGGTGTTGCATTATGGTTTTGTGTTAACCTGCTGGTTTTTGTTATGACTGAAATTTTCTCAAAATGAATTTGTTTTAGTGGTTCACAAAGTAAGGCTCGGTAAGGGGAAATGGACTGGTGCATCTGTGGCTTACAATGTTTCAAGAGTTGTGATGTTTCCAAGTGATGCAGGAAGAAAACCCGAGAACGCGTTTCCATACAGCTCCCTGCCCAAAGCCACGCACATCGCATTGGCAATGCCGCGCTGATTTGAACAGATGCACGTGCTGATGACCTCGGTGGGTGCAAACAGGGTGGGTGCAAACAGGGTGGGTGCTAACAGGGTGGGTGCTAACAGGGTGGGTGCAAACAGGGTGGGTGCAAACAGGGTGGGTGTAAACAGGGTGGGTGCTAACAGGGTGGGTGCTAACAGGGTGGGTGCAAACAGGGTGGGTGCAAACCGGGTGGGTGCTAACAGGGTGGGTGCAAACAGGGTGGGTGAAAACAGGGTGGGTGCTAACAGGGTGGGTGCTAACAGGGTGGGTGCAAACAGGGTGGGTGCAAACAGGGTGGGTGCTAACAGGGTGGGTGCTAACAGGGTGAGTGCAAACAGGGTGGGTGCAAACAGGGTGGGTGTAAACAGGGTGGGTGCTAACAGGGTGGGTGCTAACAGGGTGGGTGCTAACAGGGTGGGTGCTAACAGGGTGGGTGCAAACAGGGTGGGTGCAAACAGGGTGGGTGTAAACAGGGTGGGTGCTAACAGGGTGGGTGCTAACAGGGTGGGTGCTAACAGGGTGGGTGCAAACAGGGTGGGTGCAAACAGGGTGGGTGCAAACAGGGTGGGTGCTAACAGAGTGGGTGCAAACAGGGTGGGTGCTAACAGGGTGGGTGCAAACAGGGTGGGTGCTAACAGGGTGGGTGCAAACAGGGAGGGTGCTAACAGGGTGGGTGCTAACAGGGTGGGTGAAAACAGGGTGGGTGCTAACAGGGTGGGTGCTAACAGGATGGGTGCAAACAGGGTGGGTGCAAACAGGGTGGGTGCTAACAGGGTGGGTGCAAACAGGGTGGGTGCTAACAGGGTGGGTGCTAACAGGGTGGGTGCTAACAGGGTGGCCCGGGTGGGTGCTAACCGGGTGGGTACTAACTAACAGGGTGAGTGCTAACTTCCGTTGCAAACTTGACTTACAAATACGTTAGCTTGGCCAGGAAACCAAGCGATGCCGGGACGGTCCCTGAGAGGTCGTTGGACAACAATATCCTTACAACGCAGGAGGTTACAAAGGAGGTTTCAACTCATCAACGAAGTGAAGAGGCGAATAAAGGCCATACTTACCATGCTAATTCTGGAACAAGTAGGCAAGACCATGCATGCTCCCTAACGAGGAAGAAGTCCTCTGGAAGGCTTTAATATTGTTGTTAAGTGGACTAGTTCTACAGTCAGGGGGTGATAACAGATGAGCCAGTGCAGTCAGACGAGAAAGGCTTTCATAATTCTGTGTAGCAACAACCTCGTGAAAAGCATTGCTCGCCCCCCGAAAGCAAGATTGAGCCGTTTCCAAGTAGAATGGATATGCAACTTATTGCTTGAAGATTGAAGCATGTAGGAGACGCTCCCTCATTAAGCTGCTCGTCAAACAGGCTCATGGCAGGCTCATAGAGTTAATGGCTTACAAGTAATCGAGATTTATCAAGTTTCCAAATGATGCAGGAAGCAACCCCGAGAACATATTTTGACTCAGGTCCCTGGGCAAAGGCACACATATTTTACAACATTGTAATTGTCTAAAGCACATTGTAGGATTTAAACAAGGTAGGATTTATTATTTCACACACACACACCACTAGCATCACCCTGCAGGGCAATCACGGAGCTTGAAGGATTTTGAGTTACAGCCCTGACTTACAGATGCGTTAGTTTTGTCAGGCTCCCTAGTGAAGAAGGGAGTGTTCCTAAGAGTTGGCTGGTTCTTAATTTCCTGCAAAAGGCCAAACACACAAGGGGTGTTCAGTCAAGATTGTAAGTGCAACAAAGGCACGCAAGGAGTAGAATGCTGTAGAGTCCAACCTCTAACGAGTAGGCTGGATTCTGGAGGGCTTTCTTCATGGCTGGAGTACAACACTTGAAAGGTTATTATCCGGTAAGCATGTCGATTCCAGGGGGCTACTATGCTTTGCGCACTTTGTGGTGTTGATGGCAACATGCGTTGATGGCAACAGGCGTTGATGGCCTTGCCATTGCCAGCCTCTGCTACTGCTGCCTGCTGAGTATGTGAGAATCTATGACTTCTCCGTAACAGAAACCGTGATGTAAATGGTTTTGAGTCGAGAGTTTCCAATACGGTTAAATAATTCCTGGTCCTGCATTGACTCGCCAACTATCTACAAAGTCTCGTAGGTAGCGGGTAACCATCTTAAAATCATTCACGTGTGCTGGTTTACTTCGGTCACCTCCATCTTCAAACGACACCCGCGGTCTTCAGATAATGTGCCCGATTACCAAAATAATCACTTCAAATAATGTGCATTTAGTTGCTTTAGTTTCATTTACCTCAATGCTGATACTTACAAACGCTCCAAATTCGATAAGATGGTCAATGATTCTGGAAGGGACCCTGTGAAGAAGTTTTCTGTCAAAGACCTGAATGAGGAGCGAAACAAGACAAAGAATAACCGGTTAATTGTCAACTTATTCGACTATGCCTACATATCATATGCTCGCCATCATGTTGAAGTGAAGTGCTTGAAATACTGAACGGAAAGATTCAAAGGATGCAAGATGAATAAGGAGGGAGCAAGGGAGGAAGTGGAGGCGGTAGAGGGGTGGCATACCATGCCTGGATAGAATGATTCACCACAAAACGGCTCGATGCATATTTGCAAAAAGAGAAAGAAACATAAGAGTGCTAATATTCAACTTATTCCTATAACGTTTTGTCACACGGAAAGTATTTGACCGGACCGCATGCAAATTTGCCAGTTATTTGATCCATTGGTCTTCGCAATGTAGAAAACTAAACAAAAGAAAGTATTTTGCTGTTCTAGGGTTCTTGATGAAGTATTACAAAGGAGGTCACAAAAAGGAAATCGTTGGAATCCAAAGAAGGAACTAGGCAAAAGTGGTTGGCTTTTGATGTTTTTTTTTTTTTAACTGTGGAACTGCCGTTCACATGAACTAACCATTCAAAGTGCGAGTCTCAAAACCCCCCAGATCAAAACCTACGTGTTTGGTCCAGGGGCAAAAAGCTTGCCATATCAAATCCTAACTTTTTGGCTGGGGAGTTTCGAGACTCAACCTTAAGTATTGAGAACTAGTGACTGGTTTACACAAATATTACATTTCTAATGTATGTGACAATTGTGTTGTTATCCTTGCGATGAGGCAACGTTGCAAACTGAAAATAAAAAACTCATACGCAAAAACCTTTAAATACATCTGCAAGCAAACCTTTAAAACTGTAATCGAACTAAAAAGGCTTCGAAAGGATCTTAAAACACGAGCATTCATCTCATGGTGAAGACAAAGAAAAGAGAGCAATAACATAAAAGGCATGGAAAGTGGGAAGAGATACAAGGAAAACCACGATTAAATAATGTGGAACAAAAGCGTCTTTAACACTCACAAGTCTTGTAGATTGACTAATCGACTCAGACTTGTTGGTAGGCTTCCATTCAGATTAGAAAGGCTTCTGTTCATAATAAAGATGGGAAGGGGCCATATGTACACAATCACACCAGCATGCGCATGCCATGCATGTTCCAATATACTGTAAACAACCTATCTAGCTATGTGCCCGGAGTTTGTGAGAGAAAGAATCTCAATGATGATGTACTTGAGAGTACACATAGATGAGGACTTTTGGAAGAGAAAACATACCAACCACACCAACTAAGTCGGTAGCCAACTCGACAAAGTTGAGAGTGCCCAACTAGTCATGTGAGGCTAGTTTGCCCTTAACCAATCTTTGTTCAACTGACCCCAAGTGATTTGTTGGGTTGAAACCCAAACAAGCTTGATTGGGCTGGCCAACCTCGAGTGGGGTGAGTTGGCCAATTCAGGGTTTTAGGCTTGTAGTAAGGCAGGTTGGTCAACACTGATATGTTGAGCCAACCAACTCAGCCTAACATAATTCAATGAACCCCCTAACTATGTTAGCATCCAAGCACACACCCTACACACCAAATCAAGCAAGGTCTTCTCTAATATATTGCATGCATGCACGCACCCACATGTGTTGCGATGCGTGCACAGCACCCACACACACAATGCACATATACCCACCTCACAAAGCACATACACCAACGGGCAAACCACATGCACATGGGAGCACATCCAGAAAGCGATACACATACCATTTTCTCCCATCCCGAGTTGTGTTGCATCTCAATGTAAGTGGTCGGGATAAACCCAGCAGAAGCATAGACGAAGGTGTGGCACTAAGCACAAATAGAGCCCAACAAAATGCAAGCTAATAGAACCACACAGATTGCACATGGAACGTCAGACAGATGCAAGCACAACGCACAGGGTTTGAAGCTTAGTCAGCTGACCAATGCGCTCAGGAAAGATTCCAGTCAACGAGCAGCCACGCAAGCCCCTGTACCACACAAAAAACAAGTTTGTCTGACATTTTCTAACAAACAGTCTATCGAGCAAAATCAGGAGGCTACGTTAACCAGAAGGAAAAACCAGAGACAAATTATATGTACCCTAAAAATGGCAATCGGTGCACACATATGCAAGGTGCAAAAATACGGCAAACGTATTATACGAGCAGTATTAATACGGCCGTTTTTTTTGGTGCGTTTGGGGAAAAAACGCCATTTCTTTTGCATAAGGGTTTTTTTTATTTTATATTTCTTTATTTCTAGCGAACATTACAGGACAACAGCTTCTAGGCCCGTGGTGTGCTGACTGCAGCTTATTTCCGCCTGTAATAAGGTGGAAACTACTGAGGCATAGCAGGTGGAAACTAGAAGGGAGGCTGAGTTGAGTTGACCTAATAACTTACCTGTTAAGAGTTGTTCCTCCATTGTATGTGGGTCTCTGTTGTGAAACCCACGAAGCCATTTGACCGCATGGTTGGAAAGGCAAGGCACATGGCTAGGGACGTGACGTTTTGGTTGGGAAATTTAAGACGCTTGTTGTAAGGGTGTGATTGGGCTGAATTCGTTCGCGACGTGGCGTTTGCTTTGGAAAAGTTGCGACGCTTTTCATACGCGTTCGATTGGCCGAAATCATTTGCATGTCATGCGGCCCAGTCTTACTAAGTGCGAAGCAACAAACCAGCAGTGAATTTCGCGACGGCTGTTGCGAGATTCCCGCAATGCGCGGCTCGACATTGGGTGAAATTTGCTGTTCGGGCTTTTCCCAACCGCAAATTACGCCGAGTTTGGGTGTACACCCAACCACCGAGCAAAAATACGAATGACAATATGGCCGTACACCATCGTGCAAAAATATGGCCGAATAAAACGGCCGTTACTTTGCACCTTGCACAGATGAACGAAAATGTGCAGAAAAACTTGCTGTTCTGACCAGGATGAACACATGTCAGACAGACCAAGCAACCATGGGGGGGGTGGTGAAAGCAAAGCCTTGTGTGTACAAGGTATGTGCATCATGAGTATGCAAGCATGTAGGAAAGTATGGCTTTGTGGGTGAGTCTTACAGAACTTTCACATGAGTGAGATGTAGAAGTTGCGATGCGTGTCCCGTGATGAACTTGTTGTAAGACAGGTCTCTGTATTCCAATCCGAAAGTGATGCCATCATGCCCCATCTGAGCTTTGAAAAGCAGGTTCTGAGCTCAACAATAGCTGAGATGTGCATCTCGGGAGAGAAATAAATCGAAGGGATTGGTAGGGAAAAAACAACATCTCTCACGTTGTTAATAATGGAGACATAAAACGAGGCAAAGGCAGAAACACGACATGGGGTTAGAAACACGTTAGCTGCCATGGCATTACACCTGCCAGCCACGGCATTACAACTGTCAGCCACGGCATTACACCTGCCACTTACATATATGTAAGAGCGGTGAGGGTTGAAAATGATGGAGGAAGAATCGCCTTGAAGTTGTTACCATTCAGCTTTCTGAAGCAAAACATACACAGCGCAGCGCACACAGTGCAACACAGTGAGAGGCACAGCAAGAGCACAGAGAGAGGCACAGCAAGCGCACAGTGAGAGGAACAGCAAGCGCACAGCGAGAGGTAAGCATGGGCAATAGGCGAGTCGAGCATTACTTGCTCCAAGTAATTCTGACTCGACCCTCTTGGGAGGCGAGTCGAGCATTACTCGAGTCGAGTTTTTTTGCCAAGAACCCGACTCGTTTTTTGCACGCGCGGAGTTAGGCTTGAGCAACGGGTCGGGTCGGGTCGGGTAACCCGACCCGAACCCGACTTTTTGACGGGTCGGGTCGACATTTGCGGAGGGTCGACCCGACCCTCGGGTATCCGACCCGACCCGACCCGACCCGACCGACAAAACCCGACCCGTCGGGTCAGCTTATTACCCGTCCCTGCCCCTATGTTAACCCGACCCGAAATCGGGTCAAGTAGTACCCGACCTACTAAACTCGGGTCGGGTTGGCATTTCCTGAACTCCGACCCGACTTGACCCGACCCGACCCGACCCGACTCCGACATCGGGTAGGGCAAAGTCGGGTCGGGTCGGGTCGGGTCGGGTTCATGCTCAAGCCTACGCGGAGTTGTTGCTCGCGAGTAATTTTTACTCGCCCAAATGAGACGAGTAACAGTCGAGTACTCGTTTACTTGACGAGTTCACTCGACTCGACTCAGGGAGAGAAATTTCCAGGGGCCGCCGACTCGTTACTCGGAAAAAACGAGTTGAGCAATCGAGTCGAGTTTTTACTCGCCTCGACTGCCCATGCATAGCGAGAGGCACAGCAAGCGCACAGTGAGAGGCACAGCAAGCGCAGAGCGAGAGGAACAACAAGCGCACAGCGAGAGGCACAGCAAGCGCACATTGAGAGGCACAGCAAGCGCACAGTGAGAGGCACAGCAAGCGCACAGTGAGAGGCACAGCAAGCGCACAGCAAGAGGCACAGCAAGCGCACAGCGGTAGGCACAGCAAGCGCACAGTGAGAGGCACAGCAAGTTCACAGTGAGAGGCACAGCAAGCGCACAGTGAGAGGCACAGCAAGCGCACAGCGAGAGGCACAGCAAGCGCACAGCGAGAGGCACAGCAAGCGCACAGCGAGAGGCACAGCAAGCGCACAGTGAGAGGCACAGCAAGCGCACAGTGAGAGGCACAGCAAGTGCACAGCGAGAGGCACAGCAAGCGCACAGTGAGAGGCACAGCAAGCGCACAGTGAGAGGCACAGCAAGCGCACAGCAAGAGGAACAACAAGCGCACAGCGAGAGGCACAGCAAGCGCACAGCGAGAGGCACAGCAAGCGCACATTGAGAGGCACAGCAAGCGCACAGTGAGAGGCACAGCAAGCGCACAGTGAGAGGCGCAGCAAGCGCACAGTGAGAGGCACAGCAAGCGCACAGTGAGAGGCACAGCAAGCGCACAATGAGAGGCACAGCAAGCGCACAGCAAGCGCACAGCAAGCGCACAGCGGGAGGCACAGCAAGCGCACAGTGAGAGGCACAGCAAGCGCACAGCAAGCGCACAGCAAGCACACAGCGGGAGGCACAGCAAGCGCACAGTGAGAGGCACAGCAAGCGCACAGCGAGAGGCACAGCAAGCGCACAGTGAGAGGCACAGGAAGCGCACATTGAGAGGCACAGCAAGCGCACAGTGAGAGGCACAGCAAGCGCACAGTGAGAGGCACAGCAAGCGCACAGCAAGCGCACAGCAAGCGCACAGCGAGAGGCACAGCAAGCGCACAGCGAGAGGCACAGCAAGCGCACAGTGAGAGGCACAGCAAGCATACAGCGAGAGGCACAGCATCAGTAACGGGCAACTTGGCAAGACGAGTTCCGCTAAGACGATGTGTTGAGAAGCCAGCAACATGGGCTCCTCCACACGTCACTGCCCCGTCGCTGCTCCTCCACAGCAGCAGGGAGGACGAGCCTCCACTCACATTGTGGAGCTTTCTCTCACTTGCATTGTACTGTAGCCTATTCAATCCGTTTCACCTAATTAAGTTGAGTTGTGGCTAGCATGGAGCGTATGTAGAACCACATTGCGGCTAGCTACATCTACTTGTACTCACCTCTCAACATTGAATCGGAATCTGTTGGCATCCCCATTTTTAATATGACCTGACGTACAGAGGAAGCTCATCAGCTTCTCCCATTAAACACCCCTGCTTCTCTGTCAAGGCTGCCACGCTCGCCAGCAGGTGCATGAAAGCCTGAGTTGGCAAAACCAAGGGCTCTGAAGAGCAAGTGCACGCAGGTGGAGAGTGAGGGGCTTACAACTTACAAGTCACGCAGGCTGGTCATTGCTTTCACCGCATCCAGCGACCCGTTCAGCTTATTGAGGGACAAATCTCTGCCAGCGGGGCACATGTGGAAGCGATGTGAAATGGCACAAGCAGAAAGGGGAGGGGTGACTGAAGGATGGATGAGGGGGGACGCTGATAGCCCTTGGAGAAAGACTAGAAAGAAGAGAATATAAAATGAAGAAACGTCTGAAATGAGTTAGCGCGTGAAGGATGCCGTGTTGTCAGTCAGACATGGTCAAGGGGACGGGTTTTGGCCGGCCCGTCCACGCCCCCGGGCACGGGCTGGGCTGGGCTGGTTCGGGCCGGGTCGGCCCTCACCCCGCCCTAGGGTTCAAGAATAACCCGACCCGACCTGACCCAGATTTCCCCTACCCAGGGTCGGGTCTGGTCGGGTAACAGTCGGGTAGACCCCACAAGGTCCATTACCCAAACCGGGGTCTGGGGGCCGGGTAGTTCGTTACCCGAGTGGCGGGTCGGGTATAATCGGCTGGTAGAGCTGCGAGCTGCATTCCCGTGTAGATGCGTCCAAGTGACGATCTGCGCCCGGCTCGTCAATCCACAAGCGGACCTGTCAAATCCGCGCAGATCGGCAGGCGGACTGCTCGCTGGCAGGATGTGGCGGGCTCAACCCTGGCGAACGAGGCAAGGCAGGCTCGCAATCTGGCAGACACGCGACGAGACGACTCGGCTCGCCTCGAGCCGGTCACTGGCTCGTCCATTCTGCACGAGCCATGAGCCAGGCATTCCGTCGGCAGCTCGGCACGGGTGAGCCAAATACGGCTGGGCTTGTGGTGATGCTGAGCAGAGCAGGTGCCATGCCATGGACTCACAGGACTTGCAGCCGAGACAGGCGGCTGAAATTGGAAGGAATGGGGCCTCGAAGATAGCCATTGCCTGACAGGTCCCTGTGTGCATGCCATCCCATGTGCATGCCACCACGCTTCCACGCCATACCGCATGCATGCCACCCGGATCCATGCCATCTCATGCCACGTCAATGCCATCCCATGCCACGTCAATGCCATCCCACGCCACGTCAATGCCATCCCACGCCACATCAATGCCATCCCACGCCACGTCAATGCCATCCCACGCCACGTCAATGCCATCCCACGCCACGTCAATGCCATCCCATGCCATGTCAATGCCATACCATGCCGTGTCAATGCCATCCCATGCCGTGTCAATGCCATCCCATGCCCATGCCATCCCGTATCCACATCATGATTAATGAAACCGTTAGCACAAGGCCCTCGACGTTGGCATAAGAGACCGCAAGGAAACTAAAGCAGAGGGCAATGCATCCGGGAGAACAAACGGACTGGGCGAGAGATGGCAAAGCAAGCGAGCGAACTGTGAAGAGAGTAGGAGGAGAAAGGCTTGCAAGAGATTCAGGCAAAGTGGTGACAGGTACTAGTCAAGTCAAGAGAGGCTTACAGAGAGGTGAGAGCAGTGAGAGTGCCAATGGAGGGTGGGAGGGGGCCTGTGAGGTACATGGAGGGGAACGATCTGCACAGCATGACAGAGAGAGAAAGTCGACGGTGAACCAGACATCTCACATCAGATAAGTGGCACTGTAGACAATCGGCGGCAAACTGCCCTCGCCACATTAGGGGTGGATTCAGACAGGTTCGCAAGTCTCTGCATGACACTTGGGGGGAAGTCTCCACGCGGATCCTCTTGTAGGAAGCTGCTGTGGCGTATATTGGGATATGAGCAAGACGCGATGGCCTTCCTCTAGCAGTCATACGCAAGAGACGGGCCCATGCCGCCCCCACCCCTCCCCTCCCCCACGCGCAAGGCCCGGTTGAGGCGTTTCGCCGCGCCGCCAATTCACACGGGCTGGAGTGCCACCAATCCCCGCAAATTTGGGCAGATTTTCGACCTGAAAGCCGCCCCCCCCCCGCCTCCCCTCCCCCCCCCCTTTCCCGCCGGCCCCACTTCCCCGTGCATAGCCCAACAGTGCATAGGGTTACAGCCAGAGCTACAACTCACAAGGATATGATGTTGGTCTCCGATTGGTCACACTCGACACTGAGAGTCAAGCAAGCAAAAGGCACGATGTCTTCTCGACTCCAAGCTGCCTCACAGTCCTGCAGCACTCGAGCTGCACACATGGGCGCGGGAGACAACCGGAATCACGAATCGGGTCAGACAGGCTGGCCGCCGGAAGGGCACCGACGAATCAGAGCACGACGATTAAGAAAAAGGCGCAGTTCTTGTAACATTGCCATGTCGCACAGTCACGCCTCGCTCTCATCTCACTCACACCCACTCGCTCACACTGCCATGCCTGACGCCCTCACGACGGTAGCGAGGGAAGCGTCGGTCTGTTGCAACTCTCGTCTCTCCTGATTCTGCAAGAGCCGCATTGCTGTTGAAACACGAGACGCGGCGGGCTCTAACCTGGCAATCATCATTTCCCATTCGCAGCGTCAGCGACACCTCAGTGTCGTCGTCGCTTCCACGCGGCGCTCTGGACCATCGTCCCCGCGGCCGTCTTCGCAACCCCATTCGCTTCTCAGCGGCTACGCCGCCACCGCGACGCGACAGAAGTAAAAACTACTAGTAGTGGAGAGGCATGGCGGGCAGAGTTGTCTGTGCCGGAAGAGGTGGCTTGCACGGCGAAATCGGTGAAAGCCCTAATCTCGAGGAGGCTTATACCGAGGCTTGCTTACTCTGAGCGGCGTCTAGTCGAGCCGACGCGCCGTAGCCGTAGCGCGCGAGGACCAGGAAGAGCGCCGCTGCTAGTCGCACCGCGAACTTGCGCGACGCGGCCATCATTGCGCTGCCAACAGGCGCGGTAACAGGGTAACACGGTAACGCGGTAGCAGTGCTACACGGCAGCAAGGCAGCACCGCGGAAGGCTTGGACGACTGGCAGCATGAGGTCGCAAACTACGGTAGGTCGTACCAACCCCCGCGTCACTCAATAGGGGAGATGCATGTGCATGTGCATCCACCCTCGCTCCTGCTACATCTCGGATAACGCCAGCGTTGTCTGACTCGACTGGCTTGGAAGGAAAAACGGCAGTGAATATTTCCGGCAGAGTGTTCGCTCGCACAACGCACATTGCATGACTGCACGTCCCACATGACTTTCGTTGGGCCCTGGTGGCTAGTCGCAATCGCAAGCTCACGCAAGTGCCAAGAGGATCCCGATTGGCCCAGCATTTCGCGAATCCGGGTATGTGTGTTGGACAGGTACACTTCAATGGCAAAAAAAAACAATGTAATTCCGGTAAAAGAGTTCTAAATAGTACCATACCATGAACAGCCAAGCGTCTCTTCAACCCCTTAACAAAAAAAAACCGGTTCTAATTTACCATGGCATAACCTAGTAGCACAGCACTACGAGCATGCATGCACATCACTTGGCCTGTGGGTGCGACGCAATGTAGTTGATGGCATCCTCGCACGACGTGATCTTATCGGCATCTGCATCGGGGATCTCCACGGCGAACTCCTCCTCAAACGCCATCACCACCTCCACGCCGTCTAGCGAGTCCAGCCCCAGGTCCTTCTGGAAGTGCGCCGTGGGGGTCACCTGAGCGAAGGGACACAGGAGGCATGAGAGGGGAGAGGGGAGAGCAGAAGGGGAGAGGCTTAGCACAGAACCCTTTTCGATTGCCATCACCACCTCCACACCGTCTAGTGAGTCCAGCCCCAGGTCCTTCTGAAAGTGAGCAGTGTAGGCCACCTGCACACACAGGGTCACAGGAGGCATGGAAAAGCAAGGACTGGGGGGAGGGGGGCGGGGGGGGCTGGGGGGGGGCCGGGGGGGGGCTGGGGAGCGGGGGGAGGCTATGCATATTTTGTTATCCCCCCTTGCACGCATCACCATCTCCACCCCGTCTGAAAGTCCAGCCCCAAGTCCAAGTCCGTCTGGAAGGGCGTCGTGGAGTCATCTGAGCGAAGGGTCACGCGAGGCATGAGGGGGAAGAGGGGGGGGATGGCGGAAGGGAGCAGAAGGGGGGGGGGGGGGGGAGGGTCGGGGGGAGGTGGGGGAAGAGGGGGGAGAGGGGAGAGAGGGAGGAAGGCTTTGCGTGGAATTTGGTTCACCTCAACTGGCATCACCATTTCCACGCCGTCCAGTGGGTCCAGGCCCCGATCCTTGTAGACCTGCGCTGTGGGGGTCTCCTGCACACACACCGGATCCCGGGAATGGGCGTGCGCGGTGACGACGGGACAATGCTCCACCCGTCATCCAGTTCCACCACAGGTCCAGCGTGCTATCATCTGACCTGATGCGGTGCGATTCGATGGGACGGGGTGGGAGGGGATGGGGTGAAAAATGATCGATCAGAGCACGGCGCATTCAGATGTGGTGATCTGACGAGTGACTTGGCATGGTGCCACACGATGTCGACCTTCGCGATTCACCCATACCGAATGTGGCGAGAACGTGTATCATGCACTGCCGCGCCTAGTTTTGCCATGCCATGCCATGCCATGCTATGACATGCACTATATTACTCAAGTGTACTGCATGATCATGCCATTATACAACAAACAGCATGATGTGCCGTGCCGTGCCGTGCCACGCTGAAACATGAGAGCGAGAACGAAAGAGAGAAATCAAGGGACAGGCGGGTGGGACAGAGTGAGAGGAACGAGTGCGAGAGATACGGATAAGAGATGGAGGAAAAGGAGGGAAGGAGGAAGAGAGTGGGGGGAAGAGGCAACGGGAGGGGAGGAAAGAGGAATGTCAGGCTGACCTCGACCATTCCCTCTCGTGGACTCTCCTCACCACCCCCCACCCCGCCCTCTCTAACTTCCCAGCGCCACTGCCATTCCCGCTGCGATCAACACGATCAGCCGCGAGCGACACCCTGACGGCCCTAGTTCTCGCGCGCAGCCGCATCGGCCTTACGAGAGGTTCGGAATCCGCACTGTCATAGCAGATTCGACGCACTTGTAGCACGGAAAGACGGGGTGAATCACCAACCAGCGGAGCGGTCTCGGGATCCATGCTTCTGACCGTTTCCGATTCATAGCAGCCCGCACCGCCATGCTCCGCCTTCAAAACGACAACCCTAATGAGCCAGCCGCCAGGCAGGCACTAGCGCAACAGTTCTTAGGGTTGCGCAACGACCAGCGTGCTTTGAGCGATTCATGGCGACCTCACCTTGCTCGGATCCACCTTCTGGAACTTCTTAACTACGTCCAGCACGCGCTCCGTCACCGCCTTCTTGTCCAGGTAAGTCCCCGCCGACTCCGCGAACCCGCGGCTCAGCGCACCGCCGGCGGCCGGCGCGTCTCCGAGGCGCGACCAGAGGGAAGGCGCGACGGGTAGCCGCACGTGGCCGAGGACGGCAGATCTGACGAGCGCGAAGGCGGCTGCTGGCGCGCGCTGCATTTTGAGGAGAGGCGGGCGGATCGACACGAGGCGCGATGGAGGCGGAGGGACGGCGACGAAAGGCTCTCAATGAGCGAAGGCGGCGCGGAAACGGTGGAGGAAGCTCGTCCGAACGCGGATGTGACGGCGGGATCGGTGGAGGCGACAACAAGCAGAGGGGAGGATGGCAGGGTGAACGCGTGTGCGAGGGTTGTGCGGGTTGTGTTGGGAGGCAAAGTGAGGCGCAATATGGGAAGGCGGAAGGAGGCTTGGGGGGAAGGTTGTGAATGGGGGGAGAGGGCGAAGTGGGCGGACGCAGGGGGATGGTGAGGAAAGTGATGATTTCCATCCTACTTTGAGAGAATGAAAGGAAAATATCACGCAGAACAGTTCGGGACGCCCCACGCTTCGTGAGGCTTCCAATAAAGAGGATACATTCCCCTCACACGTTGCCAAGGTGGACTATCTTCAGCCACTGACGAGAATCTGAGCCTACATGGCATATTCTCCAATTGTTCTGGGACGACCTTCGCCACGTGTAAGCCTTTGGCCATCCCTAAGATGATACGCCAGTTCGGCTCGAGGATGAAACGCTTGATGTTCCCTCCTCAGCTGATCACCGTTGACTGAGCTGAGAGCGGTAACGAGGCGAGGCGAGAGCCGTGAATCTGTGATCACCCCCTTGCTGAACCACTTGCTCACAGAGTCGCGGTATCATTCTGCTGTCACCACCACGCTGCCATGGCTGCCGCTACTGCTTCCTCCGTTGCTGCCGGCAGTTCCTTGGCTGGCCACCAGGCGCGCCTAGGAGTAAGTCCTTCTTACCCATACCAGCTTCCCGCCGTACCAACGTTTTGCTTCTCGCCGGCAACCAGCGTCCCTTGCCGCCTGTCTTGACGTCTTATTCGTCTCTGCGCTCGCCTCTCACCCTCCTCCCTTGCCGACCCTCCTTCCCCGCGCTGCCTCGTCGCGTCGTGCAGCTGCCGCGGCGACAAGCCGTGGCGCCCTTCCTCTCGTCGAGCGCGTGCACCCGCGGCCAATCAGGTGTGACCACCGCGAAAGACGCAGTTTAGCGCGGAAGGCATTGCTGCGCGTTCCGACTCGTTGCGGGGGGGGGGGGGGGGGGGGAGTCGTTGCGTGGGTCCCATCGTGTGCAGTATCTAGACCCTACCCAGTCCCGCGGGCTCACGCAGTCGCTCGTTGAATCGCGCGGCACTCGTGGACCCCGGAGCTGCCGCCTTGCATCGCGGCATTGCATCGCACGGCAAGTTGTGGCACGCCATCGAACCGCATGGCACGCCAGTGCGGCTGTCGCGAGGCTACAGAGTGGGGAAGCAAGATCGGCGTGGCGCGTCACAGCGTTGAGTCGATTGGGTCGCCGCTGTCGTGCCGTGTGCGCAGAAAACGCGACGACGAGGGACCATAACCGCGGTATGCCGCGTTCGCGGATCGCTTCGCTTCGTCGCTGACGTGGCATTGGCTCCCATTGGCTATTGTGACAAGCCTCCGGTGCAACTCAGTGCAGCGAGGTCTCCCCGCGACTCCCTTGGGAACATTCTCTTCCCTTGCTAGCCGCCCCTTGTGCTGTCGGCTTCGCCCTAATGCGCATGCTTCCCTCCTCCCCTCCTTCCCCTTTCTCTCTGTTCCCCTTGTCCCTTCCCCTTCCCTTTTCCCCTTTCCCCTTTTTTCCCTTCCCCTTCCCCTCCTCCCCTTGGCCCTCCCCTCCATCCTGTTCCCGGCAGCACTGCTAGCCAATGCCACGTCAGCGAGGCCCGCTGGCGTGAATGGGCCATCGTTCCGCCACGTGGCACCACGAGCTGCGGTGTCGAAGGGAAGGTGGGCGGTGGGAAAGGAACGGCGGTCCGCTTCAGGAAAGGGGAAGAGATATGATGAGAGGAGGCGAGAGAGATAGGCTGAGGGGAGGCGAGAGAGATAGGCTGAGGGGAGGCGAGAGAGATAGGCTGAGGGGAGGCGAGAGAGATAGGCTGAGGGGAGGGGAGGCGAGAGAGATAGGCTGAGGGGAGGCGAGAGAGATAGGCTGAGGGGAGGCGAGAGAGATAGGCTGAGGGGAGGCGAGAGAGATAGGCTGAGGGGAGGCGAGAGAGATAGGCTGAGGGGAGGCGAGAGAGATAGGCTGAGGGGAGGCGAGAGAGATAGGCTGAGGGGAGGCGAGAGAGATAGGCTGAGGGGAGGCGAGAGAGATAGGCTGAGGGGAGGCGAGAGAGATAGGCTGAGGGGAGGCGAGAGAGATAGGCTGAGGGGAGGCGAGAGAGATAGGCTGAGGGGAGGCGAGAGAGATAGGCTGAGGGGAGGCGAGAGAGATAGGCTGAGGGGAGGCGAGAGAGATAGGCTGAGGGGAGGCGTGAGGGATAGGCTGAGGGGAGGCGTAAGGGATAGGCTGAGGGGAGGCGTAAGGGATAGGCTGAGGGGAGGCGTAAGGGATAGACTGAGGGGGGGCGTAAGGGATAGGCTGAGAGGAAGGAGTGGGAAAAGGAGAGATGGCCCGGAGGAGAGAAATGGACAGGGTGACGCCTCAACCCCCAACGCGTTTCTGCCCCTCCCAATGCGTCCCTACGCTGTCCCTCCTCCCAACGCATCCCCCCGTTCCCTGCTCCCTTCCCAAGGGGCCCTTTCCCCGCTCTGCGTTCCTGCCGCTTCTCAAAGGGTCCTCTGCCCATCCCCTGCGCATTTCCCGCAACCGTCGCTGCATCTGTGCTCGCATGCATTTCCCCACTCATCCCTCATCCATCCAATTATGGCTCGCTCTGGGTTAAGGGCATGGGGCAGCCAGCGTATTTGGGGCATGCTGAAGGAGGACAGGGTGGGTGACACCGAGGCCTGGCCTCAAGTGTTACCCCAGCCTGCGCCCTTGACATCCCCCGCCCGTCCCCCATCCCCCGCCCGTCCCTCCCATGCCAGCTACGGCGCCACAAGGCGAAGGGCACGGGGCGGCCAGTGATGGAGGACAGGGTGGCAGCCCAAACCCCACCGCCCTTGTTCTTCCCTTCATGTCCGCTTTCCCTCCCCCATCCCCTCCCCCATCCCCTCCCCCATCCCCTCCCCCATCCCCTCCCCCATCCCCTCCCCCGTCCCCTCCCCCATCCCCTCCCTAATGCTCGCCCCCAGCTATGGCGCGCACAAGGTGAAGGGCACGGGGCGGCCGGTGATGGAGGACAGGGTGGCGGCCGTGGCGGCACGGGAGAAGCAGCCCGCCTTCTTCGCCGTGTTCGATGGGCACGGGGGGGCTGCTGTGGCCGAGTGAGTGGGTTGGCCGTGCCGTGTGTGGCAGTTAGCTCTGTCATATGCTTGGAGGGGGAGAAGCAGCTTGCGTTCTTGGCGGTGTTCGATGGGCAGGGGTTGCAACGGCAGCATGTTCTTGGACGTGGGGGGAACATGCGGGGATGAGGACATGCGGGGATGGGGACATGCGGGGATGAGGACATGCGGGGATGAGGACATGCAGGGATGGGGTCATGCGGGGATGGGGACATGCAGGACTGGGCATATCCGGGGATGGGCGTGGTCAGCATGGCAACGGACTGCCTGGGGGGGGAAGGGACCCCCCTTATTGGTTGGAGTGTTTGACAGGCCTTCTTCCTTCTTCCTCGCCATGTGATGTTGCACCGCCTCGCTCTCACGTCTCCTGTATCTGTTGCACTCGTTGTGCGCCAGGTTCCTCGAGAAGGAGCTATGGCCCGCTTACAAGAAGAGCATTGAGAGTGAGTGGCATGCTTGCTTCGTATTATGCCCACGTGATGTGATCCTCATACGTTGCTTTGCCCCATCCCCACATGTCCCCATCCCCGCATGTCTCAAAGCTTGCAACTTCCTATCACATCTCCCCATCACTGCAAGTCTCCCTGTTTGCCGTCTCCCCGTGTGACTTCATCACTCCCCATCCCCATTCTCCCCCCTACCCTCATACCTGCCTGCATCCCCCGTCACCCTCACATCCCGTCGCCCCCAGCGGCGCTGAGCAAGGGCAGGAGTCTGGAGTGGGCAACAGCGCGCGCCTATGAGGAGGTGGACGGGCGGACGCTGGTGAGATTCGAGGGGAGCGGGGGAGCGCTGGTGAGGAGAGCGGAGTGGCATGGCATGGGGGTGATGTGGTACGATAGGAATTGTCGTGGGGGGGGGGTGAGAGGGCATGGGATGGTGTGCCATGAGGGTGGGACGGGTGGCTTCGCAGTTTGGCCGTCGAGCAGATGCCTCCCGTCGGCCACCCACTTCCAACCCAATCCTCGCCCCTACCTACCCTCCCATCCCTCTCATCCCGACACTGCTATCTCTTATTCCGCCTGCTCCCCCCTCCCCCCCTCCCCCTCCCCCCCTTCCCCCCTCCCCCCCTCCCCCCCTCCTCCCCCTCAGCTCCCCCCGAATGATTTTTTTGGCATGATGATAGAGTCCAAGGGGCGTGGGGTCGAATTGGGTGCCTTTGCGCCTTCCGCACCTTCCGCCTCCCAATGACGCGAAACACTCTCTTCCTCCTCGCCTTCCACCCGCCTCCCTCCCCCCCCCTTCTCTTCCAGGCCCCCCCCAAGGGCTTCTTTGGCATGATGATGGAGCGCGGCATGGGCGGGCCCAAGTGCGGCTCCTGCGCCAACACGGCTGTGCTGCTACCCGGGCCAGGTGAGGGCAACAGATGGGCTGCTGCCCGTGACAAATAAAAGAATAGTGGTGTTGCTGGTACCCATGTCAGGTGAAAACAACAGACAACTGCAATCCCTACTGAACGCAACAGACTTGTCGTAACCCCTGGCTGACTCGCATTCTGGCTTGTGCCTATTTGATTGCCCACTTGCCTTCTCGTCCACCAACATCCCTCAAGTGCCCTCTCCTTCCCACCCCCAACCCCCCAGATAGCTCTCACCAGCTGGTGGCAGCCAACGTGGGCGACACCTGCACACCCCACCTGCCTTCTAGTGAACTCAGTACCCGCACTTCCCCTCTCCTCCCCTCCCTCTCACCCCCCATCAGACGGCTCATGGCAGCTGGTGCAGCCAACGTGGGTGACTCCCACGCAGGTACCTCTTGTCTCTTGTGTCGATGCCACCCTGCTCTCCCCTCCTCTCCTCTTTCTGTCCCCCCTTCTCTCTCCCCCCTTTCCCCCCCCCTCCCCTCCTTTTCCTCTCCCTCTCTCCCCTACAGGCGGCTCGTACCAGCTGATAGCAGCCAACGTGGGCGACTCGCACACGTACCTCTCGAGGGCGGGCGAACCCGTCAAGCTGAGCGAGGACCACAAGGTGGGGGGAGGGGGGGGTCGGGCGTGGAGGGATTTGAGGGGCGCGCGGGGGAAGGGGAGGGATGGAGGGGTGGGGGAGAGGGATTAAGGGGGGAGGTGGGAGGGGAGGGTGGGGATGGTGGGGGGGAAGGGGGACTCAGGGGGGAAAGAGGGAGTGGGGAGGGGAGGGGTGGGTTTGGGGGAGCACAGGGGGGGGATGGGGAGCACAGAGGGGAGGGGGAAAGCACATTGGGGGTTTGGGGGAGCAGAGGTGAATATGGGGGGTGAATGCATGTGGGCTGGAAGGCCCAGTGCCTAAACAGCCCTGCCCGCAGCTCACCTGAGGAACCCGCCGGTGCGGATGCTGATGAGCAATCAGGGGTGGTTTGCTCCCTGAGTCACCCAAACGACGTCTGGTCTACTGGGGTTCTCACGACTCCCCATCTCCTCATTCCGTTTCCCCCCCCCCATCTCCTTATCTCCCATCTGTCCATCTCCCATCTCCCCACCACCTCTTTCCAGTCTTTCCGTCTTCCCACCTCCTCCATCTTTCCATTTTCCCTCACCCCCCATCCCCCACCCACTCCTCGTTACCCCCACTCCCCATCCCCCCCACTCCCCATTCCCCCCCCTATCCCCATCTCCCCATCTTTCCATTTCCCCATTGTCATCTCACCACCATCCCATGCCATTTCCCCATCATCCTGTCTCTCCCCTTCTAGCCCAACGTGGAGGCAGAGCAAGTGCTATCGAGCGGAAGAGACCACCTCCGAGACAAGCGCTGGTGTTTGGTGTTCTCGCCCCTCCCCTCCCACGCCCCATCCCGCCACGTCCCCATTCCATCCCCCCGCCCAGCCCAACGTGGAGGCGGAGCAATGCGAATCAAACGCAACACACCAGCCTAAGTCAGCGTCTTCTTTCCACTTATCCTCCCTTCCCAACGCCCACCCCATCCCATTCCCCCCTTCCAGCCCAACGTGGAGGCGGAGCGGCTTCGAATTGAGCGCAAGAGACCAGTCCTGAGACAAGCTCTGGTCTTGTGTTCTCCGTTTCCTCCCGCCCCTCCATCCCACACCTGTCCATCCCCTTCTCCCCCTCCAGCCCAACGTGGAGGCGGAGCGGCTGCGAATTGAGCGCAAAAATCCAACCCCGGGGCAGCCGCTGGTACGGTATTCCCATTTGAGGTGCTACGGACAGTGGTTCACCTCGTTTCCCTGCTGTGACAGTGACAGCACCCGCTGGTGCACCACCTGCTCCTTCCCCCCTTGTTGCAATCTCTCTCCCTTTAGCGCCAGTCACTGCATAGCTGTTGCTGACATGGCAGGATGGTCTTTGAATTAGTTTTAAACAACCCTGTTGCTGTCCCTGACACTCTGCCTTCAGGTGCGCATGGCGGGAGGCGAGTGGAGAGTGGGCGGGCTGCTGGCGCTCTCGCGAGCCTTTGGAGATGTGTACCTCAAGGAGTGAGTCGCGCTGCCTCAAGGAGTGAGTTGCGCTGCCTCAAGGAGTGAGTCGCGCTGCCTCAAGGAGTGAGTCGCGCTGCCTCAAGGAGTGAGACACGCTGCCTCACGGAGTGAGTCGCGCTGCCTCAAGGAGTGAGTCGCGCTGCCTCAAGGAGTGAGTCGCGCTGCCTCAAGGAGTGAGTCGCGCTGCCTCAAGGAGTGAGTCGCGCTGCCTCAAGGAGTGAGTCGCGCTGCCTCAAGGAGTGAGTCGCGCTGCCTCAAGGAGTGAGTCGCGCTGCCTCAAGGAGTGAGTCGCGCTGCCTCAAGGAGTGAGTCGCGCTGCCTCAAGGAGTGAGTCGCGCTGCCTCAAGGAGTGAGTCGCGCTGCCTCAAGGAGTGAGTCGCGCTGCCTCAAGGAGTGAGTCGCGCTGCCTCAAGGAGTGAGTCGCGCTGCCTCAAGGAGTGAGTGGCGCTGCCATGCACTCTTGTTGCCTGGAAGAGTTTGTGTGTGCACTTTAAAGGCTCTCAAGCTGCCTGCACAACGTAAACAGGAGTTTCTTTTTAAACCAGTCTCACACCCTATGTGGTTCGTTTTGTTGTACTAACCAGCAGATGGAACTAAGGTCTCCCCAGCCCACCTGTGTGCCATCTAGGACTCCTACGAATCCACTTCCTTTCACACGTTTTCTCTGAGCTGCTCATGTGTATGTGAGAGCATCCACGCAGCCCACGTCCGTGCATCGCCCAGGTGCCCTGCATTCATGCATCGCCCATGGCATGCGCTTGCATGGGCACGGTCCTCTTGGAGTAGGTAATGACGTCACTCCAGCTACCACCCAGCTACCAGCTGGAGTGACAGCACGAGGGATGGCGCCCGGGTTCCATCTCACAGACCCCAGTAGTGTGCCCTTGCATGTGCTTTTATCCTTATGGCTTGCTGGCATCGTTCTGTCTCCCACCTACCCACCTACCAGCTGGAGTGACGGCACGAGGGATGGCGCCAGGGGTGGGTTCGGGCTCACGGCTGAGCCGTTCGTCACTGTCGTCACTCTCGCGCCTGGTGAGCCACGCCACCTACTTGCTCCCCTATGAGTACGCTATTGCCACTATGTATACTGCCCGTGCTAAGATGGCTGCTTCAAGTGCACTCATCAATGCCGGGGCGGGTCCAGTGTCACCGCTGATCCCTCCGTGGCTGTCATCACTCTCGCCCCAGCTGAGCCTTGTCTCAATCGCTCCCCTACCAGCAGGTTACGTGCATTATCCGTACTAATGTGGCTGCTCCAAGTGAATGCATCCATGCCTCCATGTGTACCTTCCCGCACATGTGCACGAGAATGTGGCCTGGCACGTCCCCCCTCTTTTTCCGCATGCTATGCCATGCCAATCCCGCATCGCCACGTCATTGCTTTCACCACCAACCCCTTCTCCTGTATATCCGCCACAACACAATGGCGACCACACGTGCTTTTGCTGTTGCCTGGCAGGTGACGATTGGCTGATCCTTGGCTCTGACGGTTTATGGGACACAGTGAAGAGCCAAGAGGCCATCGACCTGTGCCGCAAGCAAGGGTGGGTTCACTAGGTTGATCTGGGTTGACTCGTCATGATGTGGTAGTCCTGTGCCACAAGCAAGGGTGGGTTCACTAGGTTGACCTGGGTTGACTTGTTGTGATGTGGTAGACCTGTGCCGCGAGCAAGGGTGTGTTCACTAGGTTGACCTGGGTTGACTTGTCATGATGTGGTAGACCTGTGCCGCAAGCAAGGGTGGGTTCACTAGGTTGACCTGGGTTGACTTGTCGTGATGTGGTAGACCTGTGCCACACTCAAGGGTGGGTGAAGTTGTGTCGACATACTCTGCAGTGGTGACTCTGACACACCGCAGGCCTGCCCCTGCGACACCTTCCCTCCTGATTATCCGTGCATCCACATTATCTTCTTGCTCTACACTGCCCCTTATGCTCCTCATGCTCCTCCCACCCCGCCATACCCCTTATGCTCTTGCTGCGTACCCCTTTTAAGCAGACCCAATGCACAACTGGACGCAGTGGCAGCAGAGCTAGTAGGCCTGGCGCAGCAGAGGGGTTCCACTGATGACGTCAGCGCGGTGGTCGTCAGGCTGCCCACCGCTGATGCCGCCCCTGCTGCAGAAGTGTAACTGAATATGCTCTACAGTGCAAGTAGAAAGCACAGCATTTGTTGAATAAGTACCGTAGGTTACTTGGCAGCCAGGTGGCTGATGACGCTGTGGATTGGAGCCACGCGTGGCTGATGCTGGCTGGTAGCAAGCAGGTCAATGTTCTCCAAGGGCTTATGCTCCATCCATCATGCCCTGCTGCATTGTGCATGCACAAGAGATAGTGGTGGTAATGTATGCTTGCTATGCTAGAGTACCGGTCTATTGGAAGTATCATAACAATAGGCTCGGTTAAAGAATCCACAGGTCACAGACCCGCCAGAATAGTGCAAGTTGGCCTACTACCGTCTTAGAACTTGGAGGAGTTAGCCATTCGAAACACTCACAAACAGAGACAAGAGACCCTCTACACAGTACAAAAACCTTCGAGAATCGAGATTGTCAATTGCATTGCTTGTGAATGCAAGTCAAGTCCGCAGAGAGGTTAAAGCTGTTGACCCAAATTGCTGATTTTTTGTTTCAAGTTTATCAATATTGAAACCCCTCGATTGGTAACCCAGTTCCCCAAAGCGAGAGCAAAAACCAAAATCGCGCACCAAAATGACGGGAAACAGTTGACAAGCTGTTAGAATACCGGTACTAGAATGATTAGAAAGAAGAGACAACAAGGGAGATACAGGGATTGGGTTGTACTCTCTAAGAACACACACCTATTCTAGCCAATAACTTCTACATGCAGAATGTATGTAAGTTAACACACCCCCTAGACTAGATAAGGGGTAATGCTGAGCAAAAAGCACACAGCTCAGGGTGGCACCACTAGTCCGACCTCTGAGACAAGGGTCCGAAGTGTTAACGTAGAAACGAATGATTACTAGAGGTGGAAACCTAGAACAAATACTAGTTGGTTGTACTCACTAGAAGCATACCTCAGTCTAGCCTATAACTTCTACATAGATAATATGTATAAGTTGACACACCCCCTAGGTTAGACAAGGGGTGAAACTAAACAAGAAGCAAACAGCTCAGGGCGGCACTACTAGTCCAACCACTGAGGCAGGGGTCTGGAGACCAGTCAGCAAGAATACAACCAACACTGAAGCAAGCCAGGGTGGCACTACTAGTCCAGCCACTGGAGGTAAGGCCACAAGGCCAGTCTGACAAGCATATATAATAGAGAGTACACAATCAGGATCCTAACAGGGGAGCAGCTATAGGAACAAGACCAAGCTGTACACAGTGCCGCTGATGATCTTTAGGCGCAAGCGCCTTAGTAAAGATATCAGCTGTGTTGGCACCTGAGGCCAAGTGAACTACGCGGGCCTGGCGGCGCTGCTGTAGCTCGCGCAGGAGGAAGTACCGCAGCTGGATATGCTTCGCTCTGCCCTCAAGCCGAGGCTCCTGACACAGGAGTATCATGGCCCTGTTGTCAGCGTACAGGACCGGGGCAGAGCTAGGCCGCTCACCTAAGTCTGTGAGCAAGAAGGTCAGCCAGCGGAGCTCCTGTGCCGCCATGGCACCAGCGTAGATCTCAGCCTCACAGCTAGACTGAGCCACAGACGACGAGCGAGTGGATCTCCAAGAGATAGCACCCGAACCAAGGCTGAAACAGTAGCCCTGCGACGACCTGAGCGTCTCAGCGTCGTCTGCCCAAGAAGCGTCTGTGTGCCCAGTAAGGACCACTGGCCTGCGTCCTCCTAGCACTAACCCCATGCCTGATGTACTAGCAAGATAACGCAAAACCCTCTTAGCGGCAGACCAGTGCTGAGGTCGGTGTCTGCCTGTAGCCACAAAGCGAGCCAGGATGCTGAGAGGGTATGCGAGATCTGGGCGAGTGCAAGTCATCAGGTACATGAGGCAACCCACCAGCTCTGCGTAGGGGCCACTGGGCTCTACTGGCTCCTCAGGAACGGGAGCAGAGAGCCCATGGTCTACGGGTAGAGGTGTGGGCTGTGCGGAGGAGAACTGAAGACCGAACCTCTGAAGGACCTGACGCACCAAGTGTGACTGGGTCAGAGTGATGGTGCGTGCTGCTCTGTCCCTAGAGATCTGCAGGCCAAGATAGCGACGCAGCTCTCCAAGGTCAGTGCAGGTGTGTCTCTTCAGCAGCTCAGCCTTCACAGAGGCCAGTGCGTCCCTGTCAGGAGTAGCGAAGACCAGGTCGTCTACGTAGACAAGGATGTAGAACGGAGTCTGGCCGGAACGCACAAACAGTGAAGGGTCAGCAGAGGACGGAAAGAACTGCAGGTCTGCTAACGTGGCACGTAGCGTGTCGTGCCACTCGCGGGGAGCCTGACGCAGGCCGTAGACCGGGCGCCTGAGAAGCCACTGGGTCCCAGGAGGGAAGGTACCAGTGAAGCCCTGTGGTCGGCGCAGGTAGACCTGCTCGTGTAGGCTGCCCTGAAGAAAGGCAGTAGAGAAGTCGAGGGAGTGAAGCTCGTAGTCACGCTGTGCTGCTACGTGTAGCAGCGCCCGAAGAGTGGTCATCTTCGGGGTCGGGGCGAAGGTCTGGAAGAAGTCAACCCCCTCGCGCTGACTGAAACCTCTGGCCACGTAGCGCGCCTTGAAGACAGGCGGCTCTCCAGGGGGGCGCTTCACCTTGAAGAGCCACCGACCATCGACTACGTTCACCCCAGGTGGGGGAACTGCGTCGACGTAAGTGCCGGTGGATCTCCAAGATGCCATCTCCTGCTCCATGGCAGCTATCCACTGAGAGGCCCAAGGTCCCGAGGTGGCCTCAGCGTAGGTGCGAGGGGTCGGGATGTCGAAGGCGTCTGGGTCACCCTCAGGGACTAACAGCATGGAGCAGAGATGGGGAGCAGCCTCGGAAAGGAAAGCCAGCTCGTACTGCCTGTCCTCTAGGACGTCACTGCCAAGGGCAGGAGCACCCCCGACGGACAGAGGACGGGCAGGGTCAGAGACCAGAGCGGTAGCGTAGTCAAGGCGGCGGGTAGAGGCGAAGTCAGCGACAGCAGCGACAAGCGCGTCAAGGCGCGAGACAGGAACAGCAGGGTCGGTAACAAGAGAGGCAAGGACCCGAGGGACAAGGGGACGAGCAGCACGGAGGTAGTCAGAGAACGGAGGAGGTGCAACAGCAAGGGACGAGGGAGGAGGGGACGGGAGGAGGGGAGGACGAGACGAGTGGGAACGGAGCAACATAGGGTGGGTGGGCAGGACAGGAGAGACGGGACGAGCACGGGAGGGACGGCGAGCCCAAACGTGAGACGGAGGGGTAGGGTCAGGGGACAGCGGAGGAGACACAGGAGGGGAACGAGGAGGAAGACGGGCCGGAGACGAGTCTGGCGGCGGGAACACAGGACCGTAGACAGGGAGGTCAGGAGGCGGTGGGGGAGACACCGGCGCGCGGTCCGGGGAGGGAAGGCCGAGCAGGCGGAGAGCGGAAACCGGCGGCGACGGCTGCTGTGGCGGCGACGACGGCTGCTGTGGCGGCGACGACGGCTGGGCCGGAACTCTCGGACCAGCAGAGGCAGAACGACCGTCGGCAGAACACTCAACAGCAGCACCCCCAGAACCAACACCCCAAGAGCGAGAACCCCCTCCAACACCAGCGGCACCCCCAGAAGCCGCACGACGAACACCCTCCTCCACACCAGCACCCCCAGGGGCCGAGAGCAGCGGCGGCAGTGGCGGCGACAGCGGCGACGGCTGCGGCGGCGACGGCGGCGGCGGCGGCAGCGGGGTCGGCGACTGCGACTGTGGGGGCGGAGGCACTGGGGAAGGGGGACGCGGCAAGGACGGACCGGGGGTACCACCAGAGTCAGCAGACTCCTCAACGGGGACAACCGACGGGAGGGGAGTGACGTGGGAGACACCAGACGGGGCAGGACGAGGCGGGAGAGGGGCAGGGGCTACCGGGGGAGAGGGAGCAAGGAAAAGGGGGGGGGCAACTGGGAGACCTCGGTGAGGGAAGCGGCGGTAGAAGGAGACGGACTCGTCAAAGGTGACGTCACGAGAGTGGAGGAAGCGGTGAGACGGCGGGTGGTAGAAAAGCCAGTCAGACGAGTCCAGGGGGAAACCGAGGAAGACACAGGGGACAGTGCGGGCAGTGAGCTTGTCCGTGCCAGAGGCACGAACGTGAGCAAGGCAGCCCCAGACGTGGAACGCAGACGCGTCACCGGGGGACCCGGTCCAAAGGAGGGTCGGCGAAACCTGCGGCCGCTGGGAGCGTGGCCACAGGTTAAGCTGGTGAGCCGCGTAGCGAACAGCGAACGGCCACAGAAAATGGGGGGCATCGGCATGGATCATGGAGGTACGGGCGACCTCCATGACCAAGCCGATGCGGCGCTCAGCAACCCCATTCTGCTGTGGCGAGTCCGGCAACGTGTACGACTGGGTGATGCCCTCCGCACGACAGAACTGTCCAAGCCGACCAGAGGCGAACTCGCCGCCACGGTCGGAGTGGAGACACAACACGGGGAGACCGCGGTGGAGACGCGCAGCTACAACCCACGGGAGAAGAACGTCGGGCACGTCGGCCTTCCGCTCCAGGGGAAACACCGTGGTGTAGCGCGTGTAGTCGTCAACGAGCACAAGGAAGTAGCGCTCACCGCGCGGTCCGGGGACGGGGGCAGGGCCCCAAACGTCCAAGTGCAGGGTCTGAAGGGGGGCAGTAGCAGGACGCAGCGAGGAGGAGTGAGGAGCACGGCGGAGCCGACCCTCGACGCAAGGCGTGCACGGTGGCGCAGTCGAGGGAGGAAGGGCAGGGAGCGACGCGGGGAGACCTAAGACAAGACCGTGCTGGGACATGTGACGCAGACGCGGGAGAGCAGGGTGACCTAAGCGGTGGTGCCAGAGAAGGGAGGGGTGAGTGAGGGACCGACACGAGCAAGCTGCAGCGACCTGGGAGGACGCTCCAACCGGGGGGGAAGCGGTGTGTAGGGTAAACAGACCGGACACCGGGTCCCGGGGGAACGTCGCAAGGGGGGAACCTGAGACAGCCTCAGAACAGACAGCGAACCGCTCGTGCCCGGGGAACGTGGTGGTGACGCCGAGGTCCTGGAGACAGCCGACACCAACCAGGTTCCTGGAGAACGAGGGAACGTGGAGGCCAGTAAGGGAGCCCGAGGGAACTGCCGGACAGGGAAGGGACGTAGAACTGCGCGCGACGACCGGACCCGCAGAGGGGTCAGCGAGAGAGACAACAGCAGGTGCAGCAAGCGGCGTGAGCGTGGAACGGTCGCGGAAGAAGCAGGCAGAAGCACCAGAGTCGAGAGTGAAGGACAGCGACGCAGTGGCGGAGGCCGCGGACGGAGCCGGTGCAGCGACTAGACTAGGCAACCTAGGCAGTCCTACGCCTGTCGCAGCAGGGGAAGCTAAGCTACACAAGGGTGAAACACCTAAACTAGAGTACACATGGTAGTAAGATCCATCAACACTAGAAGCGTCAGCATACAAAGCATGCAAAGCAGCACCTATCTGATCCATGTCTAACTCAAAGATCGGCACGCCCTGGCGGAGCAGGCTGTGCCAGTCAGGGAGGTCCGGGGCCGGGCCAAAGCGACGACGAAAAAGATCGTCGAGGCGGCGGAAACAGCGGGCGGTCGGGTGCGGGCGGCGGCACAGAGTGCCGCGGAGAGGCCCGGTCTGAAGCTGGTACTGGCAGGTCACAGCACTGGAGCCGCTGGTAGACGCCAAGCTGCGCGGGCCGCCACCACGGCCACCGCCTCCGGAGGTGCCGGGCCAACCAGGCGGGAGACGAGCCCACGGCTGCGGCGGGTGCTGCTGGGACGGCGGCTGCGGCTGGGGCTGGTCCTGCTGCTGCTGGGGCTGCTGCTCCTGCCCACCGATGGTAGTCCCCTCAGGCGGACTACCGTCACCACCACTACGACCACTACCACCTGCGTCACCACCCCTACCTCCCTGGCGGCCACGGCCACCGCGACGCGAGCGCTGCTGCGGGTGGACAGCAGCAGCCGTCTCGGTAAGA